CTCCCCTTTTTTTTCTCTATATAATTCAAGGAGGACTTGTATTCACTATGTAGTCTAGCTGGCTTTGAACTCAAGGCAATCTTCCTGCCTCAGTCTTCCAAGTGTTAGGATTACAGGCCTGCCCCACCACACCTGGCTCCTCTGATTTTTATGACCGAATAAATTTTCATTGCTTGATTGTACCACATTTTGTTCATTCATTTACCAGTTGTTGGAAATCTGGATGTTTTCACCCTTAGACTTCCTATAGTTTGCCTAAATGTGCTCCAAAGGTCCATGTTTAAAGGCTTGGTTTCTAACTGCACTATTGGGAGGCAGTGGAACCTTTAGGTCCTGGTGGGTTTAAGACCCTTGGAGCGGATTGTGGTCTCTGGTGTCTTCTTTCTGTTGCTTCCTGGATCATGATGTGAGAAGTTTTTTCCAACCAGTGACTCCCTGTCACTGTCACCTGACGCAGTCACCAGGGTCTCACAGCAAAGGGACCACCTGATCATGCACTGGAACTTCCAAAACCATGTACTAACTAACCCTTTCTTTTGCAAATTAATTAATTTAGATATTTTGTTGCAGTAAAAGGAAGCTGCCCTGAATATCCAAGCATGTGTTCTTTTGGGTGGTTCAGGGTGAATTTGTGTTTTGTTCTCTGGAGTTTGGCATCAGCTCCTGGTCCTGACAGGAACCCATCCAGAGCTGCCCCTCAGAGTGAGGAGCAAACTGTAGCCCAGCAGGCACAGTTCCACGGTGAGCAGGGTACGGAGGACAAGCGTAGGCACCACGGCAGATATAGCCAGCTTGGAGGGACCCTGCAAATCTCCTTTCTGGATGGGGGTTACTGACTGAATGAGAGCTAGGGGAGAATCATTAGTGGCCACGGGAGGGTGCATCATCCACCCGGGGAAAATGTGTCAGCGAATCCTTGGAGGGCAAGTGTTTTTCCAAGGCACGTGTGTAAATTCTCTGCGAGACATATTGCCCTGACATCTGAAAACATTCCCCATTAAGGGTGTCCTCGGCCAGGTGAAACAGCACCCACTAAACAATGAAAAACCTTTTGTCTCTTCCCCTTTTTCCTCTGCCTCCCAACTGGGGAGGCACAACCAACACCCGAGTGGCTGGGGTGTAAATGGGAAAGGGCAGCACCCACTTCCCCACGGCAGGTTCCTCGCAGCTGGCGGCTTCCCTAGCAGGGAGGGGAAGAGGACTGGCGGGAAAGATGGGAGTCTGGATGGTGAGGAAAACTCAATCTGTGTAGTAACTTCAGATCAAACTGCGTGAATAGCCCTGGAAAAGTTACGATTTGATCATGACACTGAAGTCAGGAAAAGGATACTGGCTATAGCGGGTCTGAGATACAAGAATGGGAGATTTTCTTTTGCAGTTAGATTCTCCTTTGTAAAAAGCCCCACTACCCCTTTTGTATGTGATGCATAATGAGAATCTGTAGGTGTTGTTTTATTGGAAAAATGGTCTTAATTTTTTAAAATCTGTGTTAAATGCTGAGAACATTAGAAATATGTTTTCAAACTTTGAAACTGCAATTATGTTTGTAACTCTCTAGAAATGGAAATATCTATTAATGCTAAAAATAGTTTGCTAGGTCAATCATCTTAATAATAAAATCTTACTAAAACAATCTTTTCTCACCGCAGGAATGCTAGTTATGAGGCTTTGGTTAGGGAGATTTCCTCCTGCAGTGCATAGATCCTTTTCCAAATGTTTTTATTTACTGAACACTTTGAGACTTCTCAGAAATCTTCACACTGCTGTAAAAACCCCATTCCACATGCCAAGGTCAGTTGAGGTAGCTAAGGAATAACGGAACAGACCTCCTTCCCTCCACAACGAGCTGACAGCAATAAAATGAAACGCAATAGTGATAGTGAGCACAAACATCAACACCCTAACATTAAACGAGCTCTGGAAATGATAGGTCTGGTTTCATAGCAACTCATGTGAAAAAGACAGAGGCTACACATGGGGCAGAATGGGGCCCTCGGAAATTTCTGTGTCTTGCACTCAACTTTGCTATGAACACGAAAAAAAAAAGACAGAGAGGTGTTAATTGATATTAACAATGGATATGGCCTGAAAAGACCATTAGGAGCCCCCACACGATCCGCACCAGCAGGTGTAGAAGTGCTGGCTGTGTTAGAATCGCCCCTTCTCCTTTGCTAATTTTACAGTCCCTGGGGTGTCAGTCTGAGCACAAACTTAAAGAAGACAGGGGCAGGATGGAAGCTTTCAGTCAAGGACAATTGGCATGGGAAAGAATCCAGAAAGTAATCAGGTCAGTAAAGTCTAAGCACATGTCAGCCATCTTGAAATACTTGGAAGACCTACATTACTTTATATAGCACCTCACGATTTTCAAAGCACCTTTATTTTTATGTTTTAATTCTATTGTTATATTGGCCTTGGGAGTTAGACGAGGGAGAGATTGCTCTCAATTTATAAATGAGGAAACCAAAACTCAAAGTTGCTAACTTTACTTTGTTGAGAGCAGCACAGTGGCTAAACAGAGTTGCCAGGACCAGCACCCGGGTCTCTCAACATGTTTAGTGTAGATTTCAGTGACAGGACATTTTATGCTCCATGGATGGCAAATCCAAGGCTTTTAGATGTCAGTGAAGCAGAAGGCAGTAAGTTCAATAAAACAGTTTTTCAAAAACACCAGTGAAAGCTTTTCAGTGATGGAAGGGGTAGTCCCCTAAAGCTGTGACCTCGGTTCTTGATACTCTTCCAACAGAAACTAAATAATAGGTCTTTAGGATATTAGAGAAACTATTTCTGCATGAAAAGAAACACTGGACAATGAATGTTCTTTGTTTCCATAACCATTGCTTTCTTTGTATTAGGCTAAGAAGGACACAAGTGTTTAAATATGTTTGCAATGGTCCTATGTTTTTATTTGTCAGTTTGCTAATGAGAGCTGAGATGGGACAATAGTTTCATTTGAAAAAATATTATTCAGGCTGGTGGCGGATAAATGACTCATGGATATATTTATGTCATTCTTATTTCTCTTTTTTCCTGCAACCGTCACAGTACATCGATATTGCTTATGCTTCAGCCATTTCCTTTAATGCTGGGTATGTGGAGAGACAATAAGAAAAGAACCATAAAAAACAAGGCTCTAGGAACCGAGCTACCTCAGTGGAAGACTGAGGCTGCATCATCTGTGAAGCCCACAAAGTCTGATGTTTTTGCAGCCTCAATATCTTTATTTCTGCTGTGTCTCTGAAGCTCACGGCATGATCAAGGTTAGTAACCATGGAGACCAGTGTGATTTATTTACTGCTGTGAAGATTTAGCACTGACAGAATCAGAGCAGGCTTCCTCGTGCACACAAGGATCTAGGGGTAAAAAAATGGAGGCCGAAACAGAGGATCCGCAGAAATGTTTAGAGGAAGACACAAAAAAATGAAAGGGAGAAAGAGCTTGGAGTACGTGGACAGATATTCCTTCCAGGTCTGCATCCCTGCTTGTCTGGTTCTGTCCTTGTAGAAAGCCCTTCCTTCCCATCCAGCGGCGACCCGTTCACCAACAGCCTCAACTGCAGTTCAAAGCCCAGAGCCCTTGCAGCAGCACCAGCCAGCGCTTCTCTGTCCCCTTTCTGATTACAGCGGTTCCTGGGGTCTGCCTCCTTGCAGTGGATTACACTGGGTGGACCATTTTTATCAGTGTCCCTAGAGGTGGCCCAGGTGGCTGTGAATGTTGTATTCTTAAAGGCTCTGGTCAAGGGATCATGTGGGACCTGAGATGCAGACTATGGTTCCTCTCCATGCCAGCAGCCTGCCTAGAGAAAGGGGCGACGTTTGGATTCCCATAAAACATCTAACAGACTAGTGTGGGCTGGACTGTCCTCCACGTACCATCGTGTGTTTGTCTGGCTCCTCAATGCATTGTACCCGCCTTGAGGTAAGGAATAGAGAGGGGCCTTTTATGGGAGGTGCAGCACCAAGGTCTGCAGAGAGAGAATGCTGAGGAAGCAAAGTGGAAGCCAAAGAGCTTGAACCTACAGAGAGAGCTGATGGACCCCACTGTTTGCTTGTGCACTATGGGTTCTGGGTTCTGCTGCAGCCACGGCCAGGTGGGAGCTGCTGAGTGACTGGGACAGGGCTCAGCGTGGGTTTGGAATCACAAAAGGGGAGGAATGGAGGTGTTTGGGAGATGAGCTGACATACTGCACTGGATCCTGTGGGGAAAAAGATCTCAAGAAAATCCTTCTGATCCCAAACAACCTCCTTCTTCCCTTTTCAAAATGATGATCACCTTGGCACTGTTTTGTCTTCTGCAAACTTCATCTTCTTGGGGGTCCACTTTAGATCCTTCACCACAGTCAGCTTGACTAACCTTACATTTAATCTCTCTCTCTCTCTCTCTCTCTCTCTCTCTCTCTCTCGGTACTGGGAATTGAACTCATGGCCTTACACTTGCCAGGCAGGTGCTCTGCCACTGAGCTATATCCCTGTCCCTAATTTCTGTTTTATAAGCGTACATATAAATTGTGTGTGTGACTTAAGAAATCATGGATTTCCAAAAATGGACAAAGAGACAAGCTCGTAAGAAGTACAGAAGCCTGAGTTAGCTTTTGGATTTTAGGCAGAAAGAAAACTGGATCCATTCACCTGTAGACAAGATTTACACACTGGGATGGATTTCAGATGATGAGAGGAGGCAGGAAGGGCTGTGGCTGGAACTATTCTCAGTGCTATGCAGCTGAGTGTTTTCCCGTTTTGACATGAGCACAGACCTCATTAGCTAATGTCTTTCACATCTGGGTAGAAGTAACACAAGCGAAATCACAGTCTGATGCAGCATAAGCAGATGGGATTTTCACCAAACAGTTAGAAAAAGTAAAGCATGGAAAATTTGCGTCCTCGAATAGATCCTCTTTGTTCAAAGAGGCCCTGATATTCATATGCAACAAAAAGGAAGGTCCCTCAAAGTGGATGTTGCAAACTATGTCTCATTAGCACAAACTTTTGGTTTGTGGTATGAGATTCAAAGCATTCTTCTAACTCAGTAGTTTCCTCTTTTAGACCTCCAGAGCCTTTGGCAAATCGCCCAAGGTATCCAAACTCAGGGAGTTCCTCTGTGGAATGGAAGTCAGTACGACACCCTCTGAGGCTACTGTAACGATGAAATGAGAAGACCCGCGTGGGGATCAGGACATGTTCGCCCTCGTCATGGTTTGGCCCAGTTGTTCAGCACATTGGTTCCAGTGCCAGCCTTGGATCCGGCCTTGACATCTATCAGAAAGTTCTTTAACTCCTCTGATCCTGTATTTCCTCGACTGTCACCAGGAGGAAAGATTACCAACTCTCTATGGTTCTCGAGATTGGTAAATGAGGTTAGCTTTTCCACACTGCCAGACACACAGTGACTACACATGATGAACTATTTTCACTATTCTGTAAGTAGAACTTTATGGACTAGGCACTTCTCCTGCCCTTCCTCCATTCTCTACCCCAGTTCTTGACATTCTGAGACTGTATTGCCCGATTCTCTTTGTTTAAATGTAAGCTGCTAGAAAAGCCTCAATTCACTGAAACGATTCTCTTGCTCCTGGGGGATACAAGCAGAGGTGTGACAGTGGCAGAAACAGAAACCTTACCTGTGCAAAGCTTTGCTAGCTCCTGTCTGCTCTCCACTCCTCTCCCTGCTTGGTCCTGTGGGCTTAGAGATGGGTTCAGACCCTGTTGAGGTGCCAGGCCGTGGTTTAATCTACATTCTGGAGGAAGAACCTGAGGCTCAGGAAAGACCTCAGACTAACTTCCAGGTCCATTTGCCAAACAGCCAGATCTTTGTTGAATTCTAAGGTCCAGAGAGACCCACATCTCATATACACACACATGTACACACACATACAAATGCAAAATTTTACAGTAGAAATCTAAATCTTTTAGCCAGGTGTGGTGGCACATGCTTGTAATTCCAGCACTCAGGAGGCTGAGGCAAGAGGATTGTTGTGGGTTCGAGACCAGCCTGGGCTACAAAGTGAGCTCAAGGCCAGCCTGAACTGCATAATGAGAACATCTCTCAAAAAGGAAAAAAAGAAAGAAAAAAAGAAAACTAAATCTTTGTGTCAATTCAAATCAACACAACGCAATTCCAGTGAGATAGATGCATTTTGAGATCCTTTGCCAATTCAAAGACAAAAGACTATTTCACTGAAGAGATTTAGGGATTTAGCCAACGGATGGGGGGGGTCTTTTATTTATTTGTTTATTTGTTTACAGCACTGGGAATTGAATCCAGGATCTTCCCATTGAACTATCTGACCAGCCCTTTTTTTTTTTTTTTTTTTTTTTTTTTTTTTTGAGACAGGGTCTCACAATGTAGTTTAGGCAGGTCTCTATCTCACTATGTAGCCCAGGTTGGCCTCCAATGCACATCAATTCTGCTGCCTCAGCCTCCCAGAGTGCTGGGATTAGAGGTGTGTACCACCATACACAACTAGGTTAGGAGGCATTTTAGAAATTCTACTCCTATAATAACATAATTTCCATGTTAATGATTGTTTTGCTAATAGAGTAATAACAATGACTACGACAACTACAGAACTGTGATGTAGAGATATGGTGTCATGTCTGTTATGTAAATATTTCATTCACTCTTAACTGAAACCCGGACAGTATTTTTATTATCAGTTTATGAAGGAAAAAAATTAAGAGCCCAGGACTCAGAAAGAATTTTCTCAGGATTGCACAAGTATTCATTGCTGTACGTTGGACTTGACAGTGAGCTGGTGTGTCCTTGGGTACGGAGTGTGGCCTCCCTGTGACACTGGAAAAGCTATGTGCTGGAGAGACCCTTGTGAGCAGGGCTGGACATCTGCCTTATTTTTCTTTATGCATATTTCCCCGCCCTTCTTGCATGGATGCCTGAAAACACAAGCTTCGATGACTATAGAGACCTTGACTAAATCCTATGGTGATGCGGCCGTGGGAAGAGTGTTCCTGGCACCCAGGGCAAGGTTGCTGAGCAGCGTGGTCATCAGCGTCTCAGCTTCCTTGGATCCCAAGGTCAGTGCTGCATCTTGTCTGGGGGTGGGGGTGGGAGAGATCCATCCCTGCTCCTTTCCACCTACGGACTGTGATTGAAATGTACAGTACCTCTTTAAATTTGAAAACTGTATGACAGTAAAGGACAAGGGCCATTTATCTCTCGCAAAGCACTCTGCCTCACTTCAAAACATGCCTCGCATTGTTCTTGCCACTTACGGAGAGAGTGCTGAAAGCCTTTCTTTGCGCAGTGCGTGCTGCTGAGAGCCGTCGATGCAAAGGCAGTGTCCTGAAAACACTGCAGCTCACCCTTGTCCACCTACTCACCGGAGCTGGCACCGTGCAGTGTCTGACTCTCCCCAAGGCCAAAGTGACCACAATGTTTTGAGTTGATTTGGGAGATTGAGAAGGGCAGGGCAGCTAGACGTAAAAGAGGACTTCCGGAACTGCTTCAGAAAGCTGGATGGGATGTATTCAAAGTGAATGGGGATATGTTGAGGGGGATTAATGGTAATGCTTTTGTTTTTACTGTAAGAATTTATCCAATTTAAACATTTACTGTTTTTCAGTTGCATCTTAAACATGGGTGACTTGTACTAAAAGAAGTTTTCAAGGAAAGTTAGGCCAAGAGCTGTGTTTTTGCAAATGTTGGACGAAATAGCCCCAAATTGGAATGTGTTCATGTCCCAAAGATTTCATAAGTATAATCCTCCTCCCTGTTTCAGATCAAGCCCTGCGGTAGCTCCCTAAAAGCGTCCTTAAGATCTTTATTCATACTCTTGTGGAAAGAATCAAAGTTTGGGAAAGAGAAGAGAAACCCAGAAGACTCTGCTGGTGCCACTGCGTCTTGTAATTAATGCTCTCCAGGGGGTCTGTTGACAGGCACAAAGGAGGCCACCCACAATGTGCACTGACTTCTGCCATGGAGGACAGGAAGCAGGAAAGCTAGCACACACAAGAAGTGCTGAGTACACGTGCAAATGAGTAGCAGGTTTTGAGACACAGCTGGAACTCTTAGGGTGTTACGTTTAGATGGGGAAGGAAGCAGCTAATGGGAAAGGCAGAATTCATAAGATGTGTTAAATACGGGCAATAAGTTAGTAATCTGTAAAATATGTTCAAGAAAAGTGGATATAAGTAAAATTTATGATGGAAAAAGAAAGAATGCTAGTTATGGATAAAAAGGAGCAGAGAGATAGAGTGCTGGTAATGCCCTCTGAGCTGACAGCCGAGTCATCTGTCAACAGGCCATCCACTGGAGTCACCCACTGGTCCCACATATCCCCTGTCTGAGAAACACTCACAAAACCAAGAGTTGTTCAGTAGGCTTATTGGCCCTTTGTTACTTATGTGCTCATTTATAAGCCATTGTTTTTCTTATTTCCCAAATATGCTCTATGTGATTGCTACTACCGTTGTGGTCAACAACACTCACTCCTGAATTTCTCTTTCAGAGCACATGTGTGTCCTCCATTTGGGGCGCTTTCTCCCTGGGCTCCGCTTGCTGCAGCCTTATCTGGTTGTCATGACCATACTGTCAGCAGGGAAGACTGACGTGGCACAGAGACAATGGGTATGGATGGTGCCCGTCCCAGGATTCAGGAAACGTGGTTCTTCTGCCTGCTCGCATCCGACCCTAACCATGTTCAGTGTACTCTTTTCCTTTGCTTTCATGGCATATTCCAAATGGCTTACAAAGCCGTGCAGTTTGTGCATAGTCAAGATAAGTTCTTGCTCAATGTCCTTATCGCATCATTTGTGTTAGGATATTTCCCTAGTCCGTTTTTCCACGTATATGCGTCTGTTTCCTTGGATAAGACAACAACAGCAAATGCTTTTGCTCCATCCCAGGACCTAGGAAAGAGCTGCGCCAAGAGAGTTTGGAATGGAGGCAAAACCCATTTTGGAGAGCCCAGTGTGTGTTGAAAAAGAAAGTAACCAAATAGATGTGTTGTGTCCATATCCTGAATATGGTCCCAGGCCTTTTGCCAGGTAGTCAGTGAACGGTTTTGTATGAATTTGATTTCTTTCCATTAGGAAAATTACTGAATTTCTGAATTAATAGAGTAGCACGGGAGGAGTAAGGTCTCTCAGTCAACCGTGCAGAGCCAATGATGGTTTGTAAAATGGGTCCATAAATAACAAATGACTTTAAGAACTCTGGGTGACCTAGTAGCTCATGGTGAGTGACCTCCTCGATGTATTATTCATGTCTTTCCTAATATAACAACTTCCCCCACTCTGGCCACAGTATTCTACTGCTCATTTACCGTGTTTTACCCATAACTTATCAGTCACAGCCCTACATGAAATACAGATTATAAAAGAAAACATTTCCCACACGTTTATGAAATGGTTTCCAGCTGGTCTTAAAAGTGTCTCCAATTCTCTCCGGATATAAGCGTTTATCTACTAACACTTATCACGCAAGTCTTTTCCTGCTCAGCTTCAAAAGTAGGACCATGGAGATTAGAGTCTAAGGCTTAAGAGACTGGCATTTGAGAAACTGAAAGAAGTAAATATATTGTACTTCTAGAAGATGAAAGCATTAAGCACTAAATAGTGAAATTATACCTCTATAATAAACAAACAAATAAGCCAACAAACACCTCTTCAATGTACTGAGTAATACAAGGCTTAGTTCTTTTGTTATCAGGAGCAATGAAATTGTGTATTCACAAGGGTAAAGTGTAGATGTGTGACATGGTACATGTGCATAGCACATAACCCAGTGACCCATAGGTTCCTACAGGGAACTTCAGATTGGTGGCTAAACACTTACAGGAAATTGTTTACAAAGAGAAAAGAACCTATCAGGTACTTTTGGGAGCCTGGACTCTGACAGAGCTCCCTCCATATCATGGCTTGGATGTATTTTCATGCTGCAATAGGTACTTTGGTCCTGGATATGAATTCTGGAGGCCATGCCAACAGGAGAGAAGGAGTTAGGGATTCATCATTTCCAGGCAACTTTTCAGAACTGGAGATCCCTGTAGTTAAATTTATGGGACAAGATAAGTATTCATTTTCCTTCCTATTATACAACTTCCTGCCTGTGTGGCAGGGTTACAACAGTCACAGGGTTCATTTGAGGCCATCCAACTTTGGACTTCAACAAGATAAATGGTGGCATCTACAGAGACATGATGAAAAGATCACCTCAATATGATAAATCATTAAGGTATAAAGTAATAAAGTCTAGAGAAACGCTCCAAGCTATAACTTTCTTCTAAAAGTCTCCTGATTTTGATGTATCCATCAAACATAGCTCTATTTTTGATTCATTTTAGTTCTTGTTTTTGGTTGAAATGGATGGGCCAGTCCCTTTGGCCAGTAGTAGGTGGATTTCTATCAATGGGCCAAGAAACAAGATTTATTTCAGGAAGGCTTGGTTCAAGAAGAACAGCGTGACCTTGCAGACTCACACAGTTCCTTAGCAGTAACCATCCAGCTGAAGTTATTGTTGCCTCAGTGAGATGCAAATCAGGACCGGGTTTCCCAAACAGGGTCCTGTAGGACACATGTGCTTAAACAGCGAGTGTTTTTGTTGTTTGGTTGTAACCACTACGTATGTTAAAAATAAGAGGCATGAAAGTTCCTGTGTTAAACAAATTTGCAGGAATTTCTTTTCTGCAGAGTGATTCACAATATTGAAAAAGTTAGGGTGTGTTGCATGTCTTGGAATTAATGGGTGGAAGAACACAGTTTGTGAAGCATTGAACGGTGGCCCAGGCCAAGGATCACTGACCTCTGGGCAGTTAGTGGATAAACAATGTCATTGGGCAGCCCCGGGGTGATTGAGGCATGAGGTGAGGAGGGCAAGAAAAGAGAGGGAGATGAAACTTAAACAGAGATACAGATACAAGAAGATTAAAATTTCTACTTCACACCAGAAATAGCCATTTTTAACTTCCCGTCATACTTCTAGTCTTTTTGATGTGTATGTGTATGATTGTGCTCATTATGAAACCATATATATATACATATACATTTATATGAGTAAAATCATGATACATATATCGACAATCAGCATTTTGGTACTTTATACATACCTACTTTTTTACTTTTTTGTTTTTCATATTTAAAAAATCTTTTTATTGGTACATATTTGTAGTACATAATGTTCACATTCATTTTAGAGACTAGGTACATATACTTAACACATATTAATTCTTTTTATTCCCTTTCTCCTCTCCCATCTCTAGATTCCCTTCCTACTAGCAAATGACATATCTGTTTCCTTTGAAAATTTTATTTTTTTCATTAGTCAATGTTGGCAGTTCATAATGGTCACGTTCCTCGTGAAAAGTTGGCACATGAATGTAACATCTTTATTCTGTTTTCATTCCCTTTCCTTCTTCCTCACTCCCTGCCCTATCTCTTTCCTTTTGCAAATGATGTATTGCCCTACTATTAACTTTTATTTTGCCATTTAATTTATTTATACTTTTGAGTTTCTCACATAAGACAAACCATGCAATATTTTTGCGTGTGTGTCTGATTTATTTCACTCAACACTCTGCTCTCAGAGTGCATTGAATTCCATACAAATGACTCCAATTTATCTTTCTTTATTGCAGAGTAGTACCCACTGTGTCCAAATACCACATATTCTATATACATTCATCTGTTGATGGATATACAGGTCTCTTCCAAGATTTAGATATTATGAGTTGCGCTGCTATAAACATTTGTATGTGTGTATGTCTGTAACATGACGCCTTTAACTCTTTGGTTAATACATCTAGAATAAGTTAAATGGAATTTTTATTTGTAGTGTTTGTGGTGTCTCCATACTGAGTTGCTGTACCAGTTTACATTCCCACCAGCAATGTAGACGTGTGCCTTTCCCCCTGCAGCAGCTACAGAATTAGTTATTGTTTGTTTTTTTAGTGATTTTCATTCTTTCTGGAGTAAGATGGATCTCAGTGCAGTCTTCATTGGCATTTCTCTGGCGGGCATATATGCTGATTCTTCTGTATTTATTTAAGCAGCCTTAAAGGGCACTAGCCACTTGGCCCATGTTTGAGGAGGTTCTATGTGCTGGGGAGAAGAATGAGAATTCTGTTGCAGTAGGGTAGAACACTGTAGAGTCTCTTTGTTCACAGGTGTGGCTCAGTGCTTTTTCTTTGCTGATTTTTTATTTAGTTGATCTGCTTCTTTGTGAAAATAGGCCTCCTGGTTTGATTGTTGGTGTTTATTTGAACTTTTATGTTCATTAGTGGGGAAATTGGTACACCAGTATCCAGGGTGTTTATATTTACAATTGTCATCTTTTCATGTTGAAATGGTGCCTTAATATGTAGGGACCTTCTTTCTTCCTACTGATCAGTTTTAGCTTGAAATCTACTTTGTCTAAATTTGCTGGCCCTGCTTCTTTCCTGAGTCCTGATGCATAGAACACTATTTTCTATCCTTTGATTTTTAGTCTGTGAGTTTCTTTTTGGATTAGATGTGCCTGTTGTATGCAGTAAACCAGTGGGTTTCGTTGTTGATCCAATCTGCTGATTTGTGTGTTGGGGAGTTGAGGCCATTCACATTGAGCCTTGTGATTGAAAACTGTTGATTTATTCTTGTTATTGCATTGTTTTCCTTCTGTGGTTTCCTCTTCTTCCTGTTTTGCTCAACTGTTGACACTACCTGATGCATTCATTCTGCCAAAATTTTTGGCATCGTTGGGGTCATTGTCTCTTTGTAGGATATCCTTGAGAATTGTTTGGAACATTGATCTGTTGGGCCTTAATTATTTTTAGGTGCTCTTTTTCACAGAAATGCTTGTTTCTCCGTGAATGTTAAAAGATATTTTTGCAGGATCAGTCTGGGTTGGAAGCTGTTTTCTTTTAGGGCTTGAAAGACTTCACTGAAAGCTCTACAGGCCTTTAAAGTTTGTGTTTAGAAGTCTGCTGTAGTTCTAATGGGTTTACCTTTATAAGAGATTTGTTGCTCTTATAACTTTCAAGATTCTGTCCTTGTATTGGGCTTTTGGGATTTTGACTATGAAGTGTCATGCAGAGCACCTCCTCCTCTGTCTCCTTCTCTTTCTCCTTCTCCTCCTCTTCTTCCACCTCCTTTTTCCTCCCCTTTCTCTCTCTCTTCCTCCTCCTCCTTCTTCTGTAATTATTTGGAGTTATGTAAGCTTTGTTTATCTGTATGTTGAATTCTTTCCCCTTCATGGAAAATTTTCTGTTATGATTTCTATAAACAGATATTTTATCATGTATGCTTTTCTCTAGATTTTCCTGTAATTATAATTAGGCTTATGTTAGTTATTTTAATTACATCTCTCATTGCTGAGATAAAATAATCAACACCCACAAGTTAAAGGAGGGAAGGTTTATTTTGGCTCACAGTTTGTGAAAGTTTCAGTCCATAGTCAGCTGGCAGCAAGACAGAGTGCATGGCAGAGGGGCATCACAGAGGAGAAATATTTCATAGTAGGGCAGGCAAGAGGCAGCAGGGAACAAGCACCAAGCAGTAGCAGTCTACCATCCTTCTTTTCCCCTCATATTCCATCCAGGTTATAAACCTATTGACTGGTGCCACCTGCACCTTGGGTGGGACTTCCCAGGACCCACACCCAAAACTATGCTAATTTCAATCAGTGGACTAATTTAATACCACACACTCTTAATCCCAGTACCACCCCCTAGATCCAGCTAGCTCTGAAAAGACCCATCTATGAGCCCATGAGGTTTGGGTGTTTGGGGGACATCTAGTTACAAGCCACAACATTAAACTTCTTAGTGTTATCTGTCGTAGCTGTTAGATCAATTTTCTTTCCCCTCTTATGATTTTAAAGGCATCTATGAGTGTATCATCTTGTTCTTCTGTCCTGTTCTGAGGCTCTGACACCCTTTCCTCACACGGGCCACTTTAGTTGTTCATGTATTCAAAGTAATTCTTTACCCCTGGGATTTCTGTCTGGCATTTTTAAATGTAGTCTATTTCTTTGGTAAATTTGTCACCTATGTTTTGAATGGTTTGGGCCAGACCTTCTAAGTTTTTGTTTCATTCTTCTATAATCACAGAAGTCGGTTTGTCTGTTAGTTGCACTATCTGTTTGGTTGTGTCATCTTTGAGCTTGGGAAGTTTCTTTGCTTTGTCTTTATAATTTAGTAGAGTTCAGCTATTTGATGTTTGATTTCTTCTCCTTCGGTGTCCTTGAATCTGCAGTGGGAGAGTTGAGGGTCTTTGGAGGCATTTTGTTTCCTTGTTTTTTTGTTTTCTTAGTGTATGTGTGTATTGA